CTCAAATTACACTCCAAATGATGATTTAGATAGTAAATTTTAGAAAGACTTTAGATGCTCTATATAGATATACCGAGTGAATGAGCGCTTGCTCTGCGATTACCGAGCGAACGAGCGCTTGCTGTCTCTGCAACCTGACGACGGACTGCATTAGTAGAGGAATCGAGGAAAATAATAATAACGCTAAAGTAGTACTCAGTAGATAGAAAGACCGGGGTGCTCAACTGAACCACAGCAACCAGAGTAGGAGGAAGGATAATATCTGGCACGTGGACCATCCATGATGCTTCAACTTATTTGTAGCTTTTTTTTCTATAAAACGAAAGGAATTTTGTTTACTGTTATGCTTAGCCTAAGCCATTGGTTTCTAGCAAAACTCTTAAATTCCTATGCTAGCCATGTTCCTTTGTTCGGGACACCAATTTCTATAAATTTCTGTGTTCTTTCAATTCTGTATTTTTAATCTCTATTCCTTTTCTATTCCTGTATTTCTCTCTATTCTACTATTTTATATTGCTCCGTTCCAATCAAACCCTCAAGACCTGAAATAGAGGAATCCCAGCGATCAGCGCGTACGGCCCAGCACGTGTAAGAACCATGTCTGCTCCCTTCTTTGCCGACACCCAGCGTCGGCCACCTGCAGGGAAAGGGAAAGCCACCGAAAATATCTCGCACATGAAGTGGGGGCCATGGTTGGTGGGCCCACTGGACAGTTGGGACAGGTGCGGACGGCACGTCAGCAGGTGCCATGTCGTGGACAGAGCGACACGCTGGACCCGGGGGGAAGTGTGTAGGGAAAAAAAAATTATGTGCATACTGTATCCATTGTTGCGCCATACAAATATGTGGATGCTTGACACGTGTTAGACTTCAACTATCCAAGGAGTGGTCCTCTGCTAAAAATAGACTCGGCTTCGATCAGCGTCGTTCACGCGGCCACGCCCATCCATCGTATGCCCACATGCACCATAAAGATCAACACGTGTCAGGTATCCACGAATGTATGATTGGCGCAAGTGTGGATACACTTTCCATAGAATTCTTTTCCGTGTTTAGCGGCACAATTGGGTGGTTGATTAGTTGAGTTGGGGCCACGTCAGATTGACACGTGACGTCGTCTGTGCCTCGCATGGGTTCGCTCGATCTTTCTCGAAGTATCTGGGTCTTTTGCAACGGGGTTGCGCTGGGCCCACTGCGCGGCTGGACAGAAGTGAGGTTAAGTTTATATACGGTATGCATCATGAAGTACTTGGACATCATGAATCCACGATGTTGACACTAGCGGATGTTTATTAGCTTGTGCTATACCGCGTGGTAGACGCGGACAACAATACCTATTAGCTTGTGCTATGACACACGGCAGCTCCGTCTTGATCTTTTCGAAGATGAAATATCCACTACGGCTGATAGCCATTAGCTTGCTAGTTTAATAATAAAACAAGCGTTGGCGAAATAGATTAAGTGAGTAGGGATGCAAACGGATCATTATACGGATGTATATTATTGATATTATATTTGTTTATATATTTTTTATTTGAATTCGGATTCAAGTACGGATAGTGTCAGCTATATCGAAAAGATATGATTGAATATTGACATCATAAATATGTGACTTGAGTATTCGGATATGGATATGACATCGGGTATCGAACATCTGGGCTCGGATATGGACATATTTGAACTCTTTCGCCCTAGTGAGGGCTCCTTCGGAACACAAGAATTTCACAAGAATCAGTTCATTTTCATAGGAAAAACAAGTGAAAAAGGAAAGTTTCCCAAAGGGGGGGGGGGGGCGGGTTGCGTGGCGAATGAGATCCCCATGGAGATAGATTTAAGATTTCTCCTGTTTCCACATTTGTCAGTGAGGGGACACAAAACTAGGCAATGTCCTTTAGCGATACTTGTGTGAGGCAAGAAAGATCCAGAAGAACAAAAGTGATTGATAAAGATTAAAGAGGCACTCGGTGCTGCGGCAGCGGCTTTGATTAATTTAATTTTGTAAAATGCTACTGTAGAAGCTAGATAGAGTCTGTACGCATGCAGTGCTTTCTTAGAAGCGCACTTAATTTAGAGGCATGATGCACGCTTCAAACTTTCTGCAACGTTTATATATGACGAAAACAACAAGAATAGAGGGATGTCTTTTGGTGGCTTGACGGGTCTTTAATTTTGTTGGTCCATGTAAAAACCACTACAAGCAAAATGAAAACAGAGCTATACTCTGAATCTCTGATGTAAAAAAGAAGAAGAGCTAATTAATTACAGTCAGAACAAAGCGAGTCATCGATCTCAAACCCATGAGAATCAGCACAGAGGTGACAGGTGTCACAGCAACTGCCTGATAGGGACTAGAGAGCCCAGCTATTTATTTACCGGTCCGCAACAAGTCCACAACCACAGACCGCAGGCTTGATCGCACCACGCAACCGCTAACCAAAACACCTGCCCGCGCGCTAGCTACCTCTCACTAACAAAGGGCTTGTTTAGATGCCATCCAAATTCTAAGTTTTTTTACTCTCTCTTTATCATATTAATTTTTAGCTGCTTGCATGGAGTATTAAATATAGATAAAAAAATAATTAATTACATAGTTTAGTTGAAAATCACGAGATGAATCTTTTGAGCCTAGTTGATCAACGATTGGACAATATTTACCAAATAAAACGAAAGTAATACTATTCATCGGATTAAAAAATTTTGCAAAGCGAACTAGGCCTAATACTGTACACAGCATCACGCAAGGATCGTATGGGACTGCTACGCGCGCAGGCATACTCCCTCCTCGATCCCATCGAAACGGCCACGCTGACCACGCGTCAGCAACGACGAGCCCGGCGCCCAGGGCCGTGTTTAGTTGGAGGCCGGATTCGGCGCCGCCGGATTCGGCAGCACTGTTCAAACACTGTAGCGTTTTGTTTTTGTTTGGTAATAATTGTCCAATCGTTGACTAATTAGGCTCAAAACGTTCGCCTCGTAAAGTACAACCAAACTGTGTAATTAGTTTTAAATTTCGTCAACATTTAATACTCCATGCATATACTGCAAGTTTGATATAACAGGAAATCTTTTTTTTTTATAGTGTCAAATTCAGGAAATCTGGGGAACTAAACATGGCCAGCTGTGAGGGAGCAGTACTACTCGCCGAAATAGACAAGACAAGTCATCGTCGTCACCGTCCGCGGACGAGGGGGAAAAAAATACGGACAAGACGGCGCAGAAGGGCGTTGGTTTCAGCCCCGGCTGATACTGGTCTACCGAGTGAAAAATACTGTTCACAAACTGATAAGCTCTATGTACTAATATATATTATAGTACCTATTAGCATGTAAAAAAATAGCCTCAAATCCGTTGGTTGAAAAATATACTTGCGCCGAAAAAAAAATCTATTGGTCGAATTAATAGTTAGTAGTCCCTTAATTAATAGTAAGACGGTTTTATTAGTAGATTTGTTCGGATCCACTGGTGCTAGTTTTAGCCGCTAATAACTATTAGCGTTAGTGGATTTACATTGGTACTAGGCAGTCGAGTGTGATTTTCTACAAAACATGAAATCAAGCTTGCATTACTACGTGAACAATGACTTACTAAAGCATTCTTCCTCTGACATTGTGCGTTCCAGAGAGAGAAAAAAGCTAGATATCATACTTCAACTAGGATGTGCAATTAAAATTAAAGAGGAAATGTTTACAAGTGACGTGTACTAAGGGGGTGTTTAGTTTCCCCAACTAAAATTTAGTCCCTATCACATCGGATATTTGACACATGCATGGATTGTTAAATATAGACTAAAAAAATAACTAATTACACATATTACGACTAATTTGCGAGACAATTTTTTAAGCCTAATTAGCCTATAATTTGACAATATGGTGCTACGGTGACATGTGCTAATAATAAATTAATTAGGCTTAACAAACTCATCTAGCGGATTAGCGACAAAATCTATAATTTATTTTTTTTTATTAAACATCCCATTCAACACACATGTGACGTTTGATGTGATACCTGTTAGACTTTAGTCCATCCATCAAACATAACCCCTAGAGCTCCGGGTCCCTGGGACGCCCCCACCCATGACCCATCCTTGCCCGTGCACGGGACGCGCTTGCGCTTGTACTACCCCCCGCCCCGAATCCTTCCCTTTTTAAACGCACGCCACGACGCCGATCGGCCTCCACCCACGATCTTCGAATTCTCCTCCTCTGCCTCTCCCTTCGCCTCCCCCTCCTCTCCTCTGCAGCGCCGACCGACCGAACCCAACGGCACGGCAAGCTAAGCGAGGCTGCGAGGCGGTGGCCGAGGGTTCGTCAAGCCAAGCCAAGACAAGCGGAGCAAGGGTTTGCTCGCCCCCCATCCGCCCCGCGGACGAGGTGAGCGCTCGCGATCCTACCAAATCTGCTGCTGCGCGCATGGGGCTCGGGGATTCGGCGCGGGGTTGTTTGTTCAAATGAAATCCTTGGGGAGTCGGGGGGCACGGACGGGGAATGCGGGATCCCGTGCGGGCGCGGATCCTGGCCCCGCCGCCGCGCTGCTTGTGCTTAGCAACCGCGTTGGCTCGCCGTAGTCGGTTCGATTTGTTTTGTTTTGCCTTGTTCCTCCTCTTGGTCGACCAGCGATTCCGGCGCAATCGGAGGCTGGATTCCTACGCTGAAATCGGAGGAGAAAATTGATTTCCGTGTGGGAGGTTAGGCTTGGTTTTGTTCCAGTTTTGAGGCGTGATCCTTGGGGGAAGAATGCGATGAAGCCGAGGGGCTTGCTTTCCATTTAAACATGCTTTTCTTTCGTCTCCAGATCAGGGGAAATCGTCGAGGCCCCCGTGGTTGCGTGGGATACCGCCGCACGCATTTTGCAGCTCTAGTCTAGGATGCTAGTGCTTTTGTTTGCCAGCGGTGCGATATTATTCTTGCTAACGAGCTGGCGACTCACGGGTCATTGTTCTTGCTGCTGATGCTGCTGCAGGCTCTGCTTCTCAGCGTGACAAGCCTGGCGAACAAGCTGCCATGGACCTGGTGGGATCCTTGCTCGTGAGCATGGCACGTCTGCTTGACCCCTCCGGGCTCCATTTCTTGGGCTGGCTCGTCACCGCGGGCTCCATTGCTCTCGCCGCGCTCATCTACGCTCTCCTCAGGCTGCAGCGCGAGGCGGCGCTGTACTGGACCAAGGCGGCCAGGGAGAAGCGCGCCGCGTGGAGATCGCGGTGCCCGAGCTCCTGCCACTCGTGGTCCGAGGACCACTTCCACGGTGGCCAGCCATCGACGTGCTGCGTTTGCCTGTCGTCCCTCGGCTCCACGCAGGGCGTCGACGACGTGGTTCACCGCTGCTCTGTTTGCGGCGTGGCGGCGCACTCACACTGCTCTCCCTGCGCTGAGAAGGACTGCAAGTGCGTTGCGCAGGCTGGCGCTTCGCCCTTGCTGCATCACTGGTCTGAGAGGTGGGTCGAGCTGGACGACAACCCGGAGATATCCTCCTTCTGCTACTACTGCGATGAGCCGTGCGGTGTGCCTTTCCTTGGTGTCTCTCCTATATGGCGCTGCCTGTGGTGCCAGCGGCAGATCCATGTTGATTGTCATGCGAAGCTGTTGAAGGAAACCACGAACACTTGTGATCTTGGCCTTCTCAGGAGGCTTATTGTTCCTCCCCAATCAGTGAAAGAAGTTGGTCAAGGTTCAGGAATTAGCGGAATGCTCAACTCAATCAAGGATGGGTTTGCCAATTCAACAGCTGGGAGTCGTAGGAGGCCACGCAACAAGAAACGCATGAATAACCATCCTGGTGGCAAGACAAATTCCTTTCCCGCAAAATGCTCAGTCCTTGATTCAGTGCTTGATGGATTTGCTAGATTGAAGGGCCTGGATGGAAAGTATGCACTGGCAAAGCCTTTATCTCAAAATTCTCTAAAGCAAACATATCGATCTGGTATTCCTAATGAACGAGTGAGAAAGTATGAACTTGTTGATTTGCCACAAGATTCAAGACCACTGCTGGTATTCATCAATGGCAAGAGTGGAGGCCGAAATGGACCTTCTCTTAGAAGAAGGCTGAACATGTTGTTGAATCCAATACAGGTAATCAATGTTGTTATTTTCTAGATAGAAAAAACTAGAAAAATCATTCCTATCACCTGCTGAGTCCAATAAATCTTTTTACAAGCAGTAGCTTTTTATCAATAATTGAGTATATCCTCTGAAATATTTTAAACAATAGTTTACCTTAGGTTGTTCTAGAATTTTAGATGTATAGATGTAGTCCAATTGTCTTACCTGATATAAGTACTGAATGACATGTCACCATTTAGCAATGCTCTGCTGTAGTAATCTTGCTTTATGTTTTCTCTTTTGTACACACTTACATTTCAGTAGGCTCTGAAATCTATCCATGTGTGTTTTAGTTAAATATGATTACTTAATTCCTTTAATTGGCAAACCTGATTGCAACCAATTTAATACTCTTACCTTGACCTGACAATTCCAATCTTTGTTTCAGATATTTGAGCTAAGTGCTTCTCAAGGACCTGAAGTTGGATTACAACTATTCCACAATGTAAAACACTTCAGAATCCTTGTTTCTGGTGGGGATGGAACTGTTGCCTGGGTTCTTGATGCCATTGAAAAGCAGAACTACGAATCTCCTCCCCCTGTCTCCATTCTTCCTCTCGGAACTGGAAATGATCTATCGCGTGTTATGCGCTGGGGAGGGGGTTTATCTTCTGTTGAGCGACAAGGAGGAATATACGCACTTCTGAATGATGTTGACCATGCAGCTGTAACAGTGCTTGATCGCTGGAATGTAGCCATCAAAGAGAAGAATGGAACAGGAGGTCAATGCACCAAGCAAGTAAAATTTATGACGAATTATTTAGGTAAGTTTTTTCATTTAAACTTCCACCATCTTTCTCAACAGTTTGGTATATTTTTAGTTGAAATACATTACTTCAGTTGTAACTCATAATGTGCTAAAAATATATTATTTGTTTATTTTGGCCTGTAGGTATCGGATGTGATGCAAAGGTTGCTTATGACTTCCACACCACTAGGGAGGAAAAACCAGATCAATTTTGCAGTCAGGTAGGGATGCATTTTTTTGTTTTTTATTTTACAGTTTATGCTTAGGAAACCTTAAATCTCTGCATTATATACAGTTGTGATCATATATTACCTTCTTTGCTTAATGCTTACTATATACGTCGGCAGAAACTTAAATGCAATACTTTTATCCACAGTTTGTCAACAAGCTGATATATGCTAGAGAGGGCGCAAAGGATATGATGGATAGATCATGTTCTGATTTACCATGGCATGTTAGCCTTGAAGTTGATGGGGAGAACATTGAAATTCCGGAGGTAGCCTTCTTTACATCTTTCGTCTGTCACAACTTTGTGATTTCTCTTTGGAGGATTCTTTCTTATCTGGTATTCTCATCAGGATGCAGAAGGTGTGATTGTAATGAATATCCCTAGCTACATGGGTGGTGTTGATCTGTGGCAAAACGACAATGACCATGATGATGATTTCAGTTTGCAATCAATCCATGACAAAATACTTGAGGTGGTTTGCATATCGGGAACATGGCATCTAGGCAAACTGCAGGTAGAGATAGTCTGCTTCCTCTAAATCTTTCAGTTAGTGTTGTCCATTTTCAAATCTGGTGCTGTTCCTTCTGATATGTAGTGATGAAGCCGAAGTAGAATCTTACAATCATTTTTCTGTGGTTGATAGGTCGGACTTTCAAGGGCACACCGGTTAGCCCAAGGAAAAGTTATAAGATTGCACCTCCACAGTTCATTCCCTGTCCAGGTTGATGGTGAACCATGGATCCAGCCACCTGGGTGCCTTGAGATATCTCATCGTGGACAGGTAATTTTCTGGACAACGGTTCAACAAACTTTTGCCGATTTCAGCACCCTGCTTTCTACATTTGAGTAGACTATTAATTAAGAGCAATATTTAATAAAACAGCTTAATGGACTGTCCTAATGTTGTGCAGATGTTCATGCTGCGGAGGACATCTGAGGAGCCTACTGGGCATGCTGCCGCAATAATGAGTGAGGTCCTTGTGAATGCAGAGTGCAATGGTGTGATTGACGCGTCTCAGAAGAGATTGCTTCTCCACGAGATAGCACTCCGTTTATCCTCCTGATACTCCATCCAGTCCTGCTGCCCTCATCTCACAAGGCTAACCCATTTTGTATCCTTTGATACCAAACCTATCGTCTCTGTTTAGAAATCCCTTTGCACAGACGTAAACTGCAATGGTAGAGTTGGTGTATACAATACATGGAGATAGAAGGTGTATACAATACGAGGAGATAGAAGGTGTATACAATACGAGGAGGAAATAGAAGTTTCCTTTTGTGTTTGACTGTACCTTTTAATATAGGTCCTCCGCTTCTTTGTGGCTGGTCTCATAGGAGCAGCTGTTGAAAGAGTTTTGTAGCGCATAGATCCAATGTAACTGTAACTAGGGCTCAATGAGAAATGTAACTAGAGTGGATGTCAGTGTTTCTTCGTGACGTTGATGCAATTGTTACCACACTTTTTGAGAAGATCTGTAATTTTGCTAAGTGATGTTTTGTGGTGTGTCATGGAGAAATCTTAGCTATAATCTTGCTGGCGGTGTTCCTTCTTTACTACTACTTACATAGCACTGTCAGCTAGTGCTTGTTTTAAATTTTTGACAATAAACAGGTAACAGTCGCAATACCGTCAAATCCCTGACGGTTTTACCGATTATCACTGTTGGTTCAACACATGAACAAGCAGTAATAATAATACAATTGCTGTCGGTTCATATCTTGAAGCAATGGTGGTAATTGAATTATTACTGTCAGTTTTACTATAAGTGGTGAATTTTGTTATCTATCACTAGCAGAGATAACATTGCTGTGAACACATTTATTCAGCAGTTCACATACACGTTTCAGCATTCACTCGCAGACAGCTCGGCCCGTTCGGCTGAACTTAAGGGCTACTGCAGCATCTCTTGTAAGAGATATAAACTACTGTACAATGGCTGCCAACAGTTACTGAAGATGACTTAACAACGGTATATGTAATCAAATCAATGTTGTTATCACGAAACTCCAACCATATATATGTAATCAAATCACAATTGTTACCACGAAACTCAAACCATGTATGTGGATGACTAGTGAATTCATAAACCCAGCGAACTATTCCAGATGGCTATGACTTCTCGGGGGATTCAGCTTGTTTTCAGTTTCAAGCACTGTCAGCAACAGACGAAGCAGTAGAAGACTAGAACTAGAAGCTGATGTACATATTGAACTGAAAAGAAGTGAAAATTACAAGATACATGTTACATTGCTCAGCTGGATGGAATCGATGGTGGTTATACTCTCCTACAAGGTCACTCTTCTTGAAACCTATTTATTTATTATAGAAACGAAATACCTACATCATTAATACTCTAGCTTTTGGTGGGTACCAATTACCCATATTCAAATCCTTACCTATCTTATTTGGATAGAGTACATGTATTTATTTTTATATAACAGAAATGGGTAGGGTAGGGTATGAGAAGTGAATTATCCATGGAGAAGTTTTAATCATCTATTAGTAGAATTGGGTGGATCTTATAATACAAAGTTCGTTTTAGTTTCGAATTTTTAATGTGAGACCCACATGTTAATCTTACTTCAGTAATTTGCATAAAGTATCAACTGCTATATTGAATTATCCGCAACAAATTGTAGTCTAACTCAAATGGCCCGCAAGACTCCAGGTTTTCGCTTCTCTTTGATTTTTCGGAGGAGACCCCAAGGGTCATCAGATTTTCATCGGTTTCAGTTTCTTGGCTACCCGGGAATTCTGGAGGTTTGTTCAGAGTGCCACTTTGAGTTGTCCAGCATTAAGGAGGGCCACAGCATCCATATCCATTTTGCTAGCTAAAGAGAATAGGCAAGTGAAAGGGTAATACCATGTGGGGGTACGGCCTCCGGTATCCACAGGATAAGACATGTGCCACACCGTCAGAGGTGGCCCACTTCACAAGATCAAGGCGTGCACAGCGCTGCTCGGCATGCACCGCAAGCTATTGTATAATACCAAATATGATACTTTCCTTATAACCCTACCCCTCCAGACTATATAAGGAGAGGCAGGGATCCCTTACTTGACATTTCAATGCAATACATCAGAACACATGATGTAGGTATTACGTCATACTGACGGCCGAACCTGTCTAAATCTCGTGTTTTGGTGCTTGTATTACCATCTCGCTCCTGAACTCGCTCACCTTTACGATAAATCTATCATCGTGGGATACCCCTCGGTGGACTGCTGAGCATCTTTTGTTAGGTAGGGGAGTGCGCTTGATCTATGGTGGGCCAGATGACGTCCTTCGTCAACCTACGATGATGTCAGTGTCTCGATCCAACTCGCAGCAGCACGCTCCATGTCGAGAGCGCCAGTCATGATTTCAATCCACTAATACGTGACTGCGGCAAATGTACGTACGGATCTACAGAGCAAGCAACAAGTAAAGGCGGATGACTACCGAGCATCTTTTGTTAGGTAGGGGAGTGCGCTTCATCTATGATTGGCCAGATGGCGTCCTTCATCAACCTACGATGATGTCAGTGTCTCGATCCAACTCGCAGCAGCACGCTCCATGTCGAGAGGGTCAGTCATGATTTCAATCCACTAATACGTGACTGCGGCAAATGTACGTACGGATCTACAGAGCAAGCAAGAAGTAAAGGCGGATGTGCAATCCACTAATACGTGACTGCGGCAAATGTACGTACGGATCTACAGAGCAAGCAAGAAGTAAAGGCGGATGTGGATCAATCTACAGAGCCAAGATAAGCAACTACAGCTAGGAGGTGCACATGGGACAGGATCGGTTCGATCGATCAAGCTCCGCCTCCCTAGGCGGGCAGCGATCGTTCGACTCCTGGCCCCTGCCGACTCTGCCTCGGTGATCCAACATGGCCACAATTGATCTATAGGAAGACGTAAGGCCATGCAAGTTATTAAATATTTGATTTATCTGGCGCATGCAAACCTGTACGTGTATGAATTCAAGACGGATTCACCAGCGACATGAATATCAACTACAAACAGAGCAGCTGTTTCAACGCCGGAGCAGAGCACTCTCGACTTCAACATCAACCGGATCGTCGCCGACAACTTCACCACGCCCGTGCTATGGTCTTCGTCAAGCTACGCCAGATTCCACACGCCTGTGTAGGCTCCAGCCTTTGCACAGTACATGTACTCCGACTATGTCCGTTGGACTACGACTACACGTATGACTCCACGCGTTTATCGGACTGCATCAAGCAGTCCGAGTCCGCCATGCAGCATCGCTTCTCCGACCAGATTGAATGCGGCTACGACAACGATCTCTCCGTATCTGATCTGTCCGAGTCGTCGACCACTAATATAAGGACGACATCGCCGGACTACTCGCTCCGATCGTCTGCCGCGTCAACGCCGACCAGATAATGCCATACACCGTCGACCAGACGCTCTGTCTAAAGCTAAGTCACGCTTTAATATTCTTCTAAATATTCTTCAATCTCCATATATCACCATGATGTTTCTCCGAGCTGTTTTCTCCATATTTGCTTTCCAAACGGTTTTCCGAACCCTCGAACAGTCATGTTGATACTCGGACGCCTCCAAAGACGGTCCTGTCTCCGGGTCCTCTCTACACGTGCACGAGCGTCTGCCCTCTGCGTTATGGGTGGTCGGCAGCGGCTCTTTAGCGACGTCTGTTCCTCCTACACGTGCACAGGCTCCGCGCTCGACGTTATGGACTATGGGCTAGCTAGGGCTGAAGACTCAGCTACACACTAACTGATCAGGCGGTTTATATTAAATATAAATACATCTTCACACCAACTGATCGCCGAACTACATATGCTATTTCATCGCCATTGCTGATTTTTCTCCGGAGTTCATATATTTTTACATCATGTACTACCCGTTCTACATATTTGTATTGCAGGATCATCGTCCAGGTGATCGGATCGCCTGGTGCTCGGACTTCTCCACCGATCAACTGATCGGACCGCTAGGTTCATTGACTTCGTCGCCGACCAATTGATCGGACTGTTCGCCGATCGTTTCTACTCAATGGTTACTTCGCCGCCGACCAGTTGACCAGACTGTTCGTCGCTCGTGCTTCATCGCCAGCTATGCCGGTTACTCCTCGGCACTTGGATTCTTCGTGCTCGAGGACTAAGTGGGCGCACTTCACCGCACGGACGTCGCCAACTACGTCGGTGCTCGGACCTTGCCAGCTACACCGGGAACTCCTCGGTGCTCGGACATCGCCAGCGACGCCGGGGACTCTTCAGTACTCGGACATCGCCAGCGACGTCGGGGACTCCTCGCTCTTCGGTGCTCGGACATCGCCAGCGACGTCGGGGACTCCTCGGTACTCGGACATCGCCAGCGACACCGGGGACTCCTTGCTCCTCGGTGCTCGGACATCGCCAGCGACGCCGGGGACTCCTCGGTGCTCCCTTGGTGGTCGGATGCTACGTCTCATCGGTGTGCTATCAAGCTGCTCCATGCTGTTCGGATCATGGTGCTGATCTTGGGCAGCACGTCTAGGGTCTTGATACACGCATGTCGGACGACGTCGGCAAAGCTTTCAGACTTCTTTTTTTTTTGACCATACTACAAGATTTATTCTTCATCTTCCAGTAGGCTCCGGGACTAAGTGGGCACACTTCACCTTACGGTGAATGTGCGCTTTTCTCATCTTGAGGCTACGCCTGGGGACTAGTTGCCTGCTCGGCTGGTCTTCTACTTTCTGACCCTGGCACCACGTGACTATGTCACCTACTGTCAGGCTCGGGGACTAGTTGTGGGGGTACGACCCCTAGTATCCACAAGATAAGACATGGGCCGCACCGTCAGAGGTGGCCCAGCCCACAAGATCAAGGCGCGCACGACGCTGCTCGGCGTGCACCGCAAGCTATTGTATAGTACCAAATAGGATATTTTTCTTGTAACCCTACCCCTCCAGAGTATATAAGAAAAGATAGGGGTCCCCTACTCGACATCTCAATGCAATACATCAGAACACAGGATGTAGGTATTACGTCATACAGCAATGAACATGAAATGTTGCTTTGTACATTTGAGTAATTATGGGTCTAA